ATTATTTAATTGCTCCTTCCTCTCTTCCTTGGCATGTTGTGAAATTTCTGATAGTTGGATAATAAACCGTTTTATTGTAATTTGTCTTTTTAAATTATTTTGAGTCGATATTAAAATTTGGAAAAGGGGGATACCTAGATCGGTAAAATACGCGAATTTCTTCCTACAACTTCGGTTGTTGTTCGGGATACAGTTAAGGTTTTAACGAAGTTTGAGCGAATACGTAATTAGCAAAAAAAAGTTGAAATAAAGTGATTAAACAGAAATTATTACAAATATCGTAAATAACAGTTCACAAATGCGTATATATAGATATTTTTTGGAGGGGGGAAATGGTCTTCACAATTTGAAATCGATCGAACACACAGTGAAATTCTCGTATACACTCGCGCTATCTATCGTAGGATAGATGTACTACGCCAGAAACTTTCGCATTAAAAACTTCCCAAAGCTTAATGGCAATCATTCTATGCCAGAAATCTTCGCGGGAGTATATTAAACAACTTCCCAAAGTTTCATGGCAATCGGATAAACGGTGTGGTAATGCATGAAGGACAGACACACATACATTCATTTTTATATATATAGATAATTTAAGGATTGAAGTGTTACTTGTACTTAATATTTTTCAAATTTTTTACATAGAATCAAAATAGAAGTAATCATTAGTATTATTTTTAAACCAATTTAAATACCAAGTATGAGGAATGCAATTGTTGTATGCAACAATAGTACGATATTAAAGAAAACTAGAAGCAATACTAATTGCAATAACATAAAATATATTTTTCCTAAAAACATATCCTTAATTATGTTTTCATTAGAAAATATCAGGTTTTCGCTAAAATTGACAAAAATAAGAAAAATTCTGATAATTGGAATCTGAATATGCTACGAATATCTTCAATTCATTTTACTCCAGATAATGATTTATGATTCTCTTGTGCTTTCTTGTCCAATAAAATGTATTAAATTTCTAAAATTTGTGAATATAATAAAATTAAAACAGTGAAGTTTTTCTATGAAGAGAAAATAAAATCCAAACGACCAAGTATTTATTATGACATCATCCCAATGCCGGGATGAATTTTTAGTCCAACAGAAAGAAACACTGATAGACATGGCATAATGCCACGTCTATCAGTGTTTCTTTCTGTTGGACGGAAAGCTTGGATTGCGCCATATTGTCCATTACAAACGACGACACAACTCGGCGACTCTCGGTGTCATTTCTCGTACGTAAGAACAGGAAATATGACAAAAACTCATATTGAAGCTTCTGCAACTGTTCCACAATACCAGCTTGTATTTTCTGTCTTTAAAGTGGCAGTGATTGAGTTCAGGTCGGAATTTGGACAAAATATGAAACGCATTTAGATTTCCATAGGCAACATGATTCTGCCAAATAAATGGTTTCTTGTGAAATCCCGAAACTTTTACTTTCATTATCAAAATGTGCCCATATCCTTGCAAAGACAGATTCAGTTCGTTTAGTTTCCTAAATATGTCCGCAATGTATGCAAAGCGGAAAATCCAAGATACCAAGATACGTTTTTGAACTTATCTGTAAGAGGTGTCTTATCTTTGAGGAAAAGATATATTCATTTCGAAGTTCAAAAAATCCTTGCCAAGACATTTCCTCTCGAAACCAACAAATGAATGAAATTTGTATGTCTGTATGAAAAAGTAATGTTTCGTGCTGAGAGTATAAATCTTAGCACAACTGGCAGAGTAATCGCATATTTAAAGGTCTGCTTTTCACATAACTATTTTCGTGACATCATCCAAAGTCTCGTGCAAAATTTCATTCATTCTTTTTTTGTGCTAATGCATACCTGTGCAAATGCAAGGATTTGAAATTACTGCGGATTTTCACCTTTGGCTCTTGCAATAACACCAGATGTTCTCCCTATCATTGCTGTTGCATCATCTGAACAAAGTGCGACACACTATGTCCACAATATTCCACGTTCACGGAGGAAATTGTCAATATCGTTAAAAATTTCCTTCCTGATAGTTCTTCCAGGTAAAGATCGTCACAGCAAGATGTGTGATCATCTAGCTCGCGAACAAAATCAGTTAACTGGGCTTCACCCGCAATATCGGTGCTTTTATCTATCTGTAACAAAAATTCTTTTGCTGAAATTTTCTCCGTTACATGTTCTATTAAATCGTCGGCTATATCACATATTCTGCGCTGCACTGTACTGTCCGAACATGGAATCAGTTTTATCGCACCAGTCATATTTTGGTTACCATTACACAAGACGTGATTGCAGATGCGATCACAAGCTGTTCAACAACAGTATAAGGCTTATTTTGTTTGGCTGTCAGCAATGACAATGCATACGATGTCTCTTAAGATTTTTCAGATACTGCTGTTGACTTTTTGAAAAAATGTTGGTGCTTCAAAAATTTGTCTCTCCGTTTTAAAAAAATCCAAAGGTTTTCCTACCTGTTATTTATGCTTTAATTTGAAATGTCTCTGAATTAAGGAAGGCTTCATGCTGTGGTTCGATAGAATTTCAAAGCAAATGACACAAACCGGTTGTTGCTGACTATTTTTGTTAAAGAATTGAAATCCTCATTGCAAATACAGTACTCTTGAGAGTATTTACGATCGACTACCGAGGTCATGCTCTTCTTTGCAGGAGGTTCACACGATAAAATGGGACTAACATCGTCAACGGTATCTGCATGTTCAGGGGTTGGTTCGGACGGACTAGCTCCTGAAAACTTCCTGGGGATTTTCCGATCCATCCGGATCTCTCATAGAGATAGTCTGCCACCTTGACTGCTCGGCTATCCGGCCAAACAACAACATTATGCTATCAGTTGAATATCAGATGAATTTACAATTTACAGTAGGATCTTGTTTTGCGCAGGATTATTATACGCGGATTAATGTTTTCGCAGATGTCAAATGACAGAGGGAGAGCTGGAATTTTTTCCCGAGTCTGCAGTGACGCGTTATAGCTTCATGGGGCCCAGGAAAATTTGAATTAGGATCCCCATATACAATGTTGACTTGTTCTGCCCTGCGCCAATGCACCTTGCACCTGAACCACACCGGCAATCTAGGGTTCCCTATTCAAATTTAAATTTGTACATTTTAACTACGGCGATGAATTTATAAAAGATTGGTTTGGAGCCCCAGGCAATTACTTTTTTTGCTCATAGGATAACGTGACCGGAGAAACTTAATTAAGGGCCAGTAGTGATTCCTATCCGTATAAAATTAACCTTAATTTTCTAACAAAACAAAAATTTTTTAAGACTCCTTTTTCATGAATAACATTCTACTACTTCATTTTTTATGTTTGGGGTTAAAATTATGACGTATTTTATTAAAATAATGATTATTTAAGTTTTATGAATAACATTGTAAAAAATAGATGAGTTTAATTCAGAAGTTACTTAAATTAATCTTTAAACATTTTATTAGACATAGAAAAGTATAGTGTGAGCAAAATTAATAATTATTACTTACTTGTGAAATGAAATTCCCGAACATTTCTTGTAATCGTTGGTACAATCGATAGCGGCACAAAAATGTGGCATGATTATTTCTTAAGGTACGCTTCGCTATCAATCCCCTGAAACTGTCATGGCGTCTTTCTCTTCAATCGGCTTCAAAACGTGCTGCTGTAATCACCGCTACTGGCACTCTACGTTATTTTATCTCGTTGGAGATGGCAGTATAACTTCTACCTCTGGTCAAATTAATTATTTTCTAATATTTAATTATAGCCTTTACATAGCCCAAGAATTTGGCACATCATTTGGCGTGTTTATTATATAACGGGCGGTGGTTGTTGATGTTTATACGTAATATGTGTGAATACAAGTTTGAGAAAATGTGTGATCATAAGCGACACAGACTAATGGAGCATGCGCATAATCCGGGACTTTCCTTCTTCTCGTTACTCGTTACGCGAAACGTCGCTCGTTAAGCGAGTCACATTTTTACAATTTGTTTTGCTCGTTATGCGAGGTTCCATTGTATTTCATAACACATTTTTTTACATACTGTATTTTATGTTAAGAATATAATATAAATTTCCTAGAAAAGTCGGAAACTTCATTACATAATAAAAAGTAATTATATATATAAATATTTATGACTTGTCCTATTTGAATTTTTAATTTTAAATAAATTATTTTGTTATTTTAACCTGCAGAGGGCAGGCATTGTCATTTTTCAATATGGCTGTTGCGAACGGGCCATGTGGAATGTACAAACTTCAACCGATCTATGATTTTAAATCGGAATTTATTGAATTACCGACGAATATGTATTCTTTGCATAACATCTACGGCAGATCTCCTGAATCGAAGCATGTACGTTGTTAAATAATTTCAGATAAGTTCTTGAATTGTTTATATTGAATTATATGTCGTTGAAATAAATTATGTTCTGGATATTATGAAATTGAAACAAAATTCATTATTCATTCATATTTAGCCAATAAACTTGCACAAAATTTCAATTTAACGTGTTTATTACGTTCATATATGAAGAATATCAATAAGATGAAACTAATGTAAAAGTTATAAGAATAATCCATCTGGAAAACTATTCTAGTAAGTTTTGCAGATACGTAACACAATAAAGAATATCGAAGACGACAAAGAGTCTCTGTGTTCGTCTTGACGTTATACATTTTTCTAGTAGATGTTAATTTTAGGTTATTCAAATAAAAAATTAAACGGAATGGAACATTTTCTTAAACTTATTTAAAACCTGATAGCAATTAGTTGAAAACGTTAGTTAATAAAGATTGCTATCAGGAAATGTTCAGGTGTTGTAGTAAGACTGTTAATTTTAAGTTATTCATCTATATATTATACAAATTACCTGAAATAGGCTGACCGTAACATTTACAATCCAACTGGGAACATATTTCAGAATCAATGAAAATGGGGTCTAAAACTTTAATTATTTTAAAAAATTTATTTATTGATCTATAAATTGATGATGATATACTGCGTGTTCATAAAATGCTCTATTCAAAGATTAATTCTACCATCAAATACTACAAACAAGTAAAACTGGGACAGCCCCCGGAAATCAAAAATGTCTGGTCATTCTATCTAAAGTAACCCATACTGTTTTTAATATTTTGGTTTATAAGGAAACAGTTAAATCTCTGTGCAGTGGTGATAAACAATAAATTCTTCCATAGCAAAAAGAAATATAGGGAAGTCCTCTAAATAATTTCTATTAGCTTAACATAAAACTTTTCTTGATATTCTCTACTGCAATAAATCTGTTTAGTGATACTTTTTTTTACTGTACTTGTAAAACACTGGTTTCCAATTAGTTTTTCCTGCGTACCACTTTGAGAAACAGCTCAAACTCGCGTACCCCTTATAGCAGAAATTCATATTAATCCATACTAATATTATAAATTCAAAGTTATGTCTGTTACCTTTTCACGTCTAAACTGGTTTTAATAAAATTTGGCACAGAGATAGCTTACACGTTGGAGATGGACGTAGGCTACATTTTACTGCGAGGAAATATCTTACCCCCACGAGAAAATTCAATATAATGCGGGAGAAGCTGTGGGTAGACGGCTAGTGATAAATAGAATAAGTTTTTTTTTACATTTATTAAAATATAATTCTAATAATAATGAAAATAACATAAGGTTATTTAATTTTAATGCGACAAATGTGCATGATTTTCTTTGCACGACTTTGTAAAATCTGGTCGCTTTTTGGTCAGCTTCGGTCTCGAGTCGTCTTCGAATCGAAGTCGGTGACGATGTTTAGTTTTCGTGTTTGTCGTGGCCGAAAATCCGCTCTTGCAGAGGTATGTTGTGCAAAATGGTAGTAAATATTTTATTGCCACTTCGCTGACATAATAAATGTCTTTTAGGTCAGCCGAAAAAATTACCCACTGATTGCTCTGGAAAACAACTCTTGAGTCTGCTGTTGCATGAAATGTCTATTAATTCCTCTTGGTCAGAGATGGGAATGTGGTCGGTGGAGTTATTCACAAAAGGGTTATTTATCCAGTTCCATTCTGGCGATATTTCTGGGAAATAACCGACAAAAATTTTCAAAATTAATTTCGCGAACACAAATTGTGTTAATTGTATAATTTTTGTTTCTTGCGTAAGAATTTCATTTAGGTATTGTCACAAATGCAATTTTTATGAAATTTCGAGAATATTTTTAGTTATAAATAAACAAGTTTGTGCATTCAACATCATGTTGTAAATTGCCAAATTTTTGATGGTCCACCCATTATTTTTTTGATTATTATTCATGCATTTAAATTTTAAATCGACTGATTTTAGATTGCCGCACGTACCCAACGGGTATGCATATCACTGATTGGGAACCGTGGTTGTAAAATAACAGTATTTTCTTTCTTTACAACAATAATAATACAGAAAATTAAATTTTAATTAATATCAGGGCTGTGGAGTTACGTAAAAATCTACCGACTCCGACTTTTCTTTACCATCTGACTCCGACTCCGACCAGGAGCAGAGTTAACAGGTTTTACTATACTACAGTTTACCTGATTATAACGACATCGGATGTAACGACAACCCTAATATAACGTCAAATTTTTATCGGTCCCACAATTTTACTATACTAGATAATAATGTTAAAAAACCCACTTGTAATGACATAAAACCCTGTTTTAACGTCATATTTGAAGCACTCTTAAATTTACAAAATCAGATTATAAATTTTATTTCTCAAATTCCTTGTTGCAACACCAATACAGTGGTACCTCAGGATACGAAATTAATCCGTTCCGAAACTGAGATCGTATCATGAAAATGTCGTAAGGTGGATCATCTTTTCCCATACGATTACATGTAAAACCAAATAATTCGTTCCAACGCGAAAAACATACTCAAATTAAAGCCAAGTAATACATT